TATATATATATCTATATATCTATATAAGTATCGATTTATACGTGCGTAGGTACATACTTTTATCTTTTTGTAATACATTTTTGTATATAATTAATCTGCCAGTGTCAGGACTACTGATTGACTCATCGTATTTCTGCATTCAACGCATCCACAGGCAAGGCAAGTTGATACTTTACAATCTGCATTCGCACAAAATAGTATACGAGTTCAAAGGATGGGGTTGTGCAGTGCTTTGCATCCAACAGTCTCCAGCCATAGATGTTGTGGGCGTTGGTTTGGAAGACGGACGAGTTATTATACATAATCTACGCACAGATAAGAGTGTGTGCGTATTCAGACAGGTATGTACGTTTCCACAAGTATATAATGCGAATGTTCATATTTTAACTTTTTGAGCTTTAGATACTAATATGACTGTGTACATGCATACTGATTTAAAGTATAGCCTACATGTATCTTCTTCTGACATGCAGTGTTGGCACGCACGATACTTTTAGTAAATTCGAATGCGTTGCCTTCTGGGCCCGTAGAAGGGGGTATATTTTTAGGTGCGAGCGTGCATTAGTATAAAAATAGGGTGAAAATCTGATTTTATTGGTGTTTTATGTTTACAAATACACATAGATATATCTAAAGGATGTTGATACATTTGTGTAGACTGGTTGGTCTATTTCATCTTGACGGTGAAGATAAGTTTTGGACTATACGATTATACCAATTGCACAGTTGAGTTTCTAAACATACTTAACGCAGGCGGAAACTTGTGCAGTCGTGCATACTATAGTCTATTTGATTTCAGAAATATGTATGAGGCGAGTGAAAGTATTTCCAGTTCATAAAAGAGGACATTATGCTAATAACTTGTGGAGCGCGTTGCCCTGTGTGCTTCAGTTACATTTTACTTCTATTGTTGGATGAAGACAGCAGGCTACTTGCGAGTACTTCGTCTATTGACGGGGTGTCCTGAATATTCACTAAACGTTGGTATAGTCAGCTTCAAATGAAAAGTTGATCTCATACGTACACTCATGCGGCCTTGTGCCTATGGATAATATGTACATCGTACACAACAGTATTCATAGTATGCCCTGACAGAATTTTGCGTGTGCACAGACAAATTTGAACGATTTTCCATGCGTGAAGATAGCTCGATGAAAGACTATTGTTATTTATTTTTTAGATACGTTTGACTCCAGGTCTTACAATTTACGCATCGATTAACCACTCAATTGTTTGACGAACTAATCATCCAAACACGACAGGAATGGGGTCCCGTCACCAGTATCACTTTCAGAGACGATGAACACCCTGTGGTGTGTGCAAGTGCTGGTTCAAAGGTGATCATGTGGAACTTGGAGAAGCGCCGACAGCTGGGTGTAATGGCTATGCCCCACGACGGCTCAACAGTCACGTGCGCCAAGTTCTTGCCCTCGCAGCCCATTCTGGTTACGTCTGGCACGGACAATTCTGTGCGCATGTGGGTATACGATCAGGTACGTTGAACAAATAATTTCAAACAATTACAATGTATACATGTTTATAT